AAAACATAATTTAAATAATTGGTTTCACTGACTCCATTGGGTGAGTGAAATTGTGCTTTTCAATAATATTTGAATCTATTGAATATAACTGTTCATTTGTAAATATTCAATTCAAGATGAAACCTGGATTCAAGTCCTGCATGAATACAGCATCACATCAAAATATAAAATCAACTTTATTTAAATATTTAATCAACTTTAAACAATGTTATGTAATAACATCATGGGTGGTAAGAATAAGTTGGAAAATGTTTTTCTGTGGACTGGTTTGGTTTATCAGAAGTGTTGATTCTTGTCCTCCTTAACCATATAAATAATAGGCAAAAACATCCAATATATTATGTTTGTATGAATTATAAACAGTCTATAAGATATGCTATCAAAAACAAAAAATATCTCTCAGCTAGAAATTTTTTATACTTTCTGGTGATAAATACTAAAATTAGAATTTTGCTGCATACATAATTTTGTTTTAAGCTGCTTAAATTATAAAAAAAACCCACACAAATGTTTTATTTATCACCAAGAAAAGAAAATCTAGCTGAAATCAGCTTACCTGGTGTGAATTCAATAATTCAAATATGTAAAGATGACCTTTTAGGATAGATATCCCCATTTAAAATATCATGGTGTACATATTTATAAAAGGTTTCTGAAAATCGGAATATTTTCAATATGAGATTTTTGGTGACATGATGCTACATTAGGTACCTCATCTTTATTCCTCAACAAGCTAAACAAAGAATGTACTCCAACATTTGCTGAAGGAGATTAACCTGACCTGAAATAGAGGAGATATGAAGGGATAATAACCCAGATGTTCTGTGTGATGTGTGTGCATTTACCTGAGGCAATTCATCTATAAAGCTGTGAATGTTGGCAGATTTGGCAGCTGCCTCTATCTCCTCCATGGTCACCTTGCGGCTGTTGTCGCCATAGGCGATGTTTTCCGCCAGCGTGCAGTTGAAGAGCACCGGTTCCTGGGACACGATGCCAATCTGAGATCTGAGCCAGTGGATGTTCAGCTGTTTCACATCAATGCTGTCCATCACCTGGAGGATAAAGCATGTCCCAAATTAAGTGATCAAACTGAGGCTAAAACTCCTGGGAATCTTGTTAGAGTATATAGTATCATGATGAGCACACAAAAAGCTGGTCTGTGCACCTTACAGTTGTAGTGGCAGCAATATATTATACCTCCAGTGCCATTACAGGACAAAACAATTCAGAGCCTTCCTCAGTCATACCAGACTGTGTTTGAAACCAGGCCAACCTCAATGGCTGGTTACAATGTGAATGGGGGAACACCTTGGGCACAAACGCACAGTTGGGCCAAAAGGTAATAAGATGACACAACATGAGAGACTGACAGAAATGTCATGTAGATCCAAAGCCCTCCTAGTTGAGACAATGGCTAACAAAAAGGCAGTCTTATATGAGAGCCACTGAGCTCCACTGCACCAAGGGCTTGAAAGGTGAACAGCACAAAGTGTTGAAAACCAAGGGCAGATCCCAGTCAGGCACTTGAGGAGAGAGCAGCAGGCGCCACCTATGAGCACCTCACAGACAAAGAGAGACCAGACTCCGGTCCCCCACCGGACGGTCATCAACAGATGCATGATGATAGAGTGCTGCCACATATGCCTTAAGGGTTGAAGGAGAACGACCCCTATCAAGCAGAGACTGGAGAAACTTCTCAATAGTAGGCACTGAACAGGAAACTGGGTCCTTATTTTAGGCCGAGCACCACTGAGAAAATAGAAGTAATCTATTGTTATGTTGCTCCCGAGTGGAGGGTTCCTAAGCACTCAACATGGTACACCAGGCACACCACGGTCTTTTCACATTGGTGACCCGGTCCTAGCTTGCAACTACCTAAGGGGTCCCAGGTGGGTGCCAGCGAAGGTAGTGGCCATTACCGGGCCACTGTCATACCAAGTACGCACCAACGATGACTTAGTGTGGCGTCGTCATACGGACCAA